TGGGAGCGAACTGCTTTCAATGTGGGGCTCTCCATCTTGATCCAGTTTGAATGGGTCAAGACATGTTGAGACATGCTCTTTCAATATGCTGCATTTTATTAAAAACAAAGTAGCTGGTGGCCAGATTGTAAAACTAGGTGGGCCTCATTTGTCTGTCCCTACTGTAAGCCAATGAAACCTTCAACATATCCAAACTCCCACCTTTTTACCCATTTGAATGAAAAAACATCACTAATAAAAGAAAATGACTCACCTAATGCTAAACCTGAGCTCTGTAGATCAGCTTTGATCAAATTCACTGACATTTAGATAACTGCATTATTATAACTAAAACATCTTTTAAAGGGTTTTTTTTTCCAGACGCTCATTCTTTAAACTTTGCTTTGATCACTGTGCATATCCTTTTCAGCAGAAATTTGTCCACAGAGGGTGAATTTTTTTCATTTGTTTTTCATATGGAGTCTCTTTCCTTTGTTCATATTTTAAATCAGTGAAGCTACCCTTCGAGCTAACCCTTGTAATAAAAATGGAGCTACTGTGTGGCTTTTAACAACTCATTTAACCCATCTGCGTCTCAGCATTCTTGTTAGTAACCCAAGGAAACTAACACTTATTTATGTAATGAGGCTGATCATGAGGCTTAATTAGATATTTTTTTGGTTGGCTAAAGTAAACAGAGGGCAGAGCAGGGAAGTGGTAGGCTCTGTTACAATGGTCAAACACCACCAATTTGTAATGTTACAACAGTAGTGTTACAAAAGGCTGTGTATAAGAATATTTCTTTCAGAAAGTACTTTTGAATTAGTTCAAGTGCTCTAGTTTCCAAATAAGAGTCACAATCCAAGATAATTAAAATAAATGGAAGCAGGAATGTGTCAGGACAATTCCAAATGAAAAGATTGAAATCACTGGAGTTAGGAGGGCAAAAATTAGCCAGTGTATAAATATGTGTTTGCATATGAACCTCAGCTTTAAGCGATGAGGAGGGTAAAGTTTGACTTTTCTTTTTCTGCGAAAAAAAAAATCACACCTCACTGATGCAATAAAATTTAGTTAAGCATTACAAAAAAACACGTTTGTAACCAATTTTTCCCTTTCAAACAGGCAGAAATGCCAATTAAGTTTTAATTTGCTAATTATTATTTACTGTAGTTTGACTATGCAGCTGGTGAAGGTAGACTGCACATTCATTCCTGAAATGGGCGGCTGTCAGGCTCTAGAGTCAAGATAGTACTTATTAGTGGTTTTTTACAGCATGGGCAGAGTTCTTGTTATAGCTTGTAACAGAGCTGGATTAACAGCAAATAATCTTCAAGTCTAGAGCTGCAGCACCTCTTACTGTGTTCTAGAAATAAGTGAGTGTGTTCAAGTAACCTTTGCTGGCGAGATTCTTCCCGTCTCATACCAAAGTGCAGCCTTTAAGACTCGTATGACTGCCTGCGCGGCCATTTTGCAAACACGTATGCATGTCATCTGACAGCGCGAGCCCTTAAACTCTGCACTGCTTCTGTCACAAATAAAACCATTTATGAGCACACACATTTGCAAAGATCAGGCTCCGTGATCATCAGCTCCACGCCAAGCTTCTTACGGATGGCTTGTTTTCCCCAAACACTTTAGGCTGAGGATCCCTACTATAAATCCCTAAGGATTTAGGATCCCTAATATAAATCTGCTTTAAACAGGAGATATTAATTTTTTAACGCAGACATTCTCTAATATTTTCATGATGTGGCTCATACCTTAATAGATAGCAGTTGCGATGCAGATCTAGCTGCGCAGCCCACAGTTGCACAACATACTTGCGGTAATAAGAACCCTCGCTGACATGGAAAATTAATATTAAGAAAATTAATGTAAGGAAAATCTGTAATGGGTTTTTGTCTGTGTCTAATGCAACTTAGCAGTTAGCAGAAGGAAGGAATTTAGTACCAGGTGAGTAGCCAACTCCTCAGAAATCATGTTTCTTTGACCGCATTTTAAGACCTGCTGTTTTGACTTAGCGCATCAGAAGGAAGATCTGCTTTGTAAACAACAGCATGAAACATCTCACTCAGGATGCCGCCTGGCAATCTCAGCTGTCAGAACCTTGCCCACAAAAAAACAATCCCTTGGCGCAAGCGCTTTTTCATGTTGGTGCCTTTTCTGCCTGGGGAAGTGTTTTGAAAGCTCAGAAACTTCAGCAGGGCAGGAGAGCAGATACCCACCTACCTACCAGTGGCAGCGTGAAAAGAAATGTTATCTTTTCATTGCAGCATCTGTCAAGTCCTCTGGCAAAAAGAGAAGTAGCAGTTATCCCAATAAGAAAGGCTGCTCTGCTTTTTTATTGCATTTTCAAGGAGCGTAGTGTCATAGCAACACGGCAGCATGAAGACACTGTTCGGTACAACAGGGGAAGAAATCCTGGATGGGGACTGACCTTCTCTGCCTCCCACCCCAGCCTCTTGTGCCTACTGCCCTCACAGCACAGAACCACCACTCCATCGGACAATGCTGATATTGATATTGGCTTTTGTTCAAGATGATCTGTAAAAGGCAGAGTGGATTAGATATTAGAGTTTTTTGTCTGCTGCCTGGATTTCTCTTGAACCATGTATGAAGGAAGTCTTGCATGTTTTTCCCCTTTTTGCTGCTAGGAAGGTAGGTACTAAGCCCCTTTATTTCCTGGCAGCTGTGGATGTTAGAGGTGATGGAAGCACAAGATATTTCACATGCAGGAATCAAGGGGGCAAAAAATTCTTGTAAGAAAAGCCTTAATAGTTTTTTTCCATTCTAGACAGCTTGAAATTGTTTAGCTTTGTTTAGCTCCTACCTAAATTCCTTGAAAACAATACTTAGCGAGAGGGAGGGATTTGTTGGTAAACACTGTGTATTGCCTGCTATTTTTGAAGAACTGGGCACACTCCTAACAGCCTTCTGAGACCTCCCCGAGAGACACCACTTGCAAGAGGAAAGGTTGTATCTGACTGATAAGAAACTTGTCTGTGTGTTCAAATGAAAAGAGCAGCAGATCCAGATCCCTTATCTCCCTTCTTTCTTGCATGCCAGATCACCTTTAGCATCAGGCCCAGTCTTGCAGTTGCTGCTTTCAAGCAGGTCTCATTGGAACCAGCCATGATTGCTGATCTGCTCTGGGTGCAGAATCAGGCCCTGTCTTTCCAAATGCCTTCCCTTCATCCTTTCATTCCCATAGCCAAAGGAAGTGGAAAATGAAATTAAATCATTATCTGTACTTATTAAAAATGAAACAGATGCCAGAAGTCATCTGAAAGTGAAAAATAATAATTATTTTCTAAAACATTTCTTTTTCTTTGAGAAAAACCTCTGCTGCTCATCCTTTCATTACTGAGAGTGCACGTAGGCACAGAGGAGAAGGCTTGTTTTATCATGAAACTGACTCTCCTGGTAATCCCAAAGGACATATCAAGAAATGTTGTGAAGATCTTTCAGTATTTGGATAGCCAGTTTTACCCAAATCAGAAATAATTTATTCTCCATAGCTAATTCAGAGTTATGAATTACTAATTAATTCACCATAACTAATCTTTAACGCTAGCAATGTGTTAATACAGCATCATCACAAATATTGGTGGTAGCTTGATTATGTTGTTCAGAAAGAATATATTTATAAAACATAAACATTGGTGTCTGTTAAGTCCTGTCCATGCCCATCTGATTTATTTTCATACCCAAACATTTACGATAACTTAATTTAGCAGCATGCAGATAATTAATTCATATACAAAAAGAAACAGAGTAATGGAAAATACTGTAATTCCCCCTCCCCCCCTGGCTGATATCATTAAAATCTGTTTTTAGTAGTTCTCTGTGTTTTTTTTATATAGAGTAAATAACACATATTTTTTGACACCTATATATTACCCCCCCAATATATAACATTTTGGGATTAGAACGGTTGCATTTGTCATCAGAAATATCAAAACATGGACTTGATGCAACTTATCTGCAGTTTTCTGTCACATAAATGCAGTAAAGAAATATATAAATATTATACTCACCATACTACAGAAGAAAGTTTTCTCTCTAGATTTTAAATTCTATACTTATTTCCACTAGAAACCCCTATTTTATCTTGCTTTACCATATTCCTTTCTCATCAGAAAATCACTCTTCATATTCTCATAAAACATTACGCAGACCCATAAAGATAAAAACATGCACAAAGAACAGATGACAAAAGTTTATATCAAACAATACATATCAAAGAGAAGAAACTCTACTTCCCTTTTGCTGCCTCTACCTGTATATTTTAACATTAATCGAATCATTACTCTGTCGTTGTTAGCAGCCACAAATGGCTCGCATTAATTTTTTCTCATTCAAAATGATTTCTATTAAATCCTTAACCATCATTCTATCAAAATAATATGCTAATAAACATTTTAAAAAGTTGATACACTAGAACTTTAAGTTTTTGTTAGGTGAACCTAAAACAAAAAAAAACCCAAAACATCACAAGAGAGGAAAATATAAAATCTCAATTAATCTTAACCAGAAGTCCAAGTAACGGCAATATCAAACAGACTTCGCAATACCTAATATTCCCTGAAAATGTTTAAAATCCACATGTGAATAGAAAAGAACTTCTCACTTGACTTTGCTGACCCACAATTGTCAGTGGAATAAAAAGCTCAGTAATTCCTAAAGGTAGCAAAGTGTGATTTGCTCTGATTTCAGCTTAAATTATCTATTTATCTATATCTGTCTTTTCTCTCTTTAAGAAAGCAGAGAGGATTTGTTCGTTCATGGTCTTTAAAAACACTGTCTTATTTTCATTAAGCTAAGCCCACTGCTGATGTAATTCTTGCATTACAAAGGTCTTAATTTAAACCATGACATAAATGCTTTTCATCAGTTGATTTTTGTTCTTTGTGCCAAATTTCTTGCATTTTTAAAATAAAGAATATGGTGTATAATAACTGCTGTAGGACAGGCTGCTTTATTCTTCAATATGAAAGACAAATGGGGTGTGACATGCATACATTTCAACATGCAGCACTTACTTCTTTAGGACCTTTACTTTTTCCACTGTTTTCTCAGTAGACTATTTCACTTCCTTTGACTCGGGCCTAACGATAACACTGGATTTGAAGCACGGATCTCGGCGTTGAGCACACTGACGGGACCCAGAGGTGAAAAGTTCTTCTAATCTCTCTCCTCTTTCTCTCTCCCCCTTTGCCCCCCTTCTCCCTCTCCCTGCCTTCGTCTCCTTCCTTCCCCCCTCCACTCAAGGATTTGGGGTCTGCAGATGATAATTTACAGAACGTTTTGGAAGCAGGGTGGGGATGCATTCCTAACACCCCAAATCCTGGTTTGCATTACACATTAGGGATTTCAAAGCACACCAAGACTTAATCATAATCAGAAAGTAGAGAAATCGCTTCTACAACATTCTGCAGCATAGAGTCCTTTTTCTTTTTTCCCTTTAGTATCACTGTAACTAATATAGCAAAATTGTATTGTCATCGTGTCATACTATCATTGCCATGATCGATGAGCTATGCTAGTGCATCTGGGAAAACTGCATGACTTGTTTAGTTTGGGCATTATTTCGAGTTTAGGAGCTTGGTTAATTTTTGGACAGAGTCAAAAGACACAGCTCCAGCTGTTTCTCTACTTAAATGTGAACGTACAGAAGAAATTTTTCTTGATTAACATTACTACAAACAAATCAAGATTACAATGGAAAGGATGGAAACATTTTAATTAAGCAGAAGTTTCAATGTGGTCTATGCTGAAACCAAATGGCAGTGTTAGTTCATCGATCTCCACAAGACAGTATTCTCAGATACAGAATAGATTTATAAAACCTCACATGAATTTGTAGAAATAAAATATTTCAATGAACTCTGCATCTACTGCATTTCAGCAGATGTTGACCTGATACTTCTATACTTGCCCTGGCTTTATACTTTGTCCTTAAACAAATGCTCCTAAAATTGCTGAAGACAGGATACAGTGATAGATTGACCTTTAGTCTGTTAGCTATCTTGTATTAATTATGTAAGACATTAAATGAAATGGGAAAGGTATCTTCTTTTAGTCATATTAAGTATCTGTAATTAATTAATATTAGTTGATGTAATTTAAATAGATTAATTTTATTTCCTGCATATTGGGCATCTCAATAAAATTGAAGCCAGAAGAATAAATATTTTTAATATTAAATACTTCAGACTAAAATACGTTGCCTATTTCTAAATTGCAGTCTATATCCATAAAGATGGATCTATTTGGCTTGTTATTTTATCTTTTCTCATTTATTCACTTTATTGTCTGTGCAAAATCCTTTCATATGGACCCAAGCAGAAGAGGAGAGCAGGGTTATTCTTTAAGGGTGTGCTCATCTTTACATTTTTTAAACCTTTTTTGATAGATTTATATCAAGGCTGAAGTAATTCACCCTGGGATAAAACTTGGCATCAAAACTTTTAAATACAAGCACATTTCTCTTTTGATTTTGGTTTTTTTTTTTTTTCCCAAGAAAATTCAGGAATCAGTCGGCATGTTCTTAAAGGCAAAGGTTTAAGTCCTGATCCATTTGAAGTCAATGCAAGTTCTGCCATTGACTTCAGTGGAGCCAAGACTTCCTTCAAAAGATGGAAACCAATTACATTTAGTATTTTCAGATGGAAAATTTGTGCTTGTATAAATTTAGGTTGTTTCTTTTGGGGGGGTACTTACTGTATAATCCATAGAAGGTATCTCTGGATATCTTTCTGTTAAGTGACTATCTTTTTTTCATTAAGATAAGTAACAGTTCAACATATGTGGTTACTTAGGAAATTCCTCAGGATCTTTAGCGGAGTCTTTTGGGATAAGAGATGAAATCAGCCGTTGTCATTCATGACAAAGATCCCACATAATTTTTCCAAAGAGTTCGGCATGCCAATGAGGGTGGATAAGCACAAGTGATTGCATTTTGCCCATGCACTTTCCATCTGAGGTTTGGATCTGCGGTGGGACTTTTGCCTTTTCTACCCTCAGCTGCTATCAGATATCACTTTGTATTTAGTAACTGACACCTTTAGCCAGGCCAGGAGAGACGTGAACTGTGTTAACTTGCTTTGCTTCACAGAAAGATGAAGTTATCATTAGCAAAATCCTGCTTGCCTTAATCAAAGGACAAAACCTGACCCTCTGTAGAAGATGTTAAGGACTGCTTGTGTGAGCTACCTGCAGGATGAGACCTGAGATCCAGCCTCTCTCTCTCCCAGGTAAAAGTTTTCAAAAGAGATTTATTGTACTGCAAACCTGTTCTCACCTTCCACCTGGGGGTACAGCCCCAGTTGTGTGCAAGTATTAGTGACACTAAAGCTATCCCAGGTAGATGGCATGATTTCTGCATGAGAGATGACTAGTTCAACCAGGCCTACCCCACACTTTCTGCCTCAGACCCTTTGACCCCCATTGCTCCCTTCCCAGGGGGTTTAACTCCATGCATGGAGCCTTTGGGCCGAGCCCAGCTGCTGTAGAAAGGGCAGCTCCTTCCCTATCCCAGCAGGGAGGGACAGAGTCCAGCTCTGCCAGTTAGGACTGGTATTTCTGCAAGTATTTCACGAGGTTAGAAATGGGGCCAGTGTATTGTCATAGTCTGGTCCGAGAGGTGAGCCAGCATTTAAGGCCTTTTTGGGTGTTTCATTTGGATGTGAGATTGATGATAAATCCTCTGGTGCAATGCTGTTTATTTACAAAGAATAAACAGAGCCTGCTTTCCTGAACCTGAGGAGGGACTGGCAGCAGCACGCAACTTCTTTTCCCACAATCCCTGGCCAGCATTTCCAGAGAGTTTTCTGCTGAAAGGGAGCTCTGCTCTCTGCTTTTTTCCCTGGCTCTGCAGTCAGCGCTTGCTCAGCTTCACCCTGGCTGCTGTCTCTTCCAACACCCAGATTCTATGGATCTGTCTTTCCATTGCCCATGCACCTCACGTTGTCTGCACTAAGAGAGGCAGAGCTCACACATGCTGCAGGTGCATGGGCTGTGTAACGTGGGGAGACCAGAGCTTCCAAGTGTCTCCCCTGCTCCTCAAAAATGATGTGAACCTGAAGAAACTGGGTCAGTGGCACTATGTTATAGCCATCCCCTCCCACCCTGGGCACAAGTATGACAGAGCTGCCCTTGGCACGTGTACCATGGCTGCCTGCCCTTCCCAAATGCTCAGCAGAAAGCTGAGTGAGAACTGTCACCTACCAGTCCAGCTAAATAGCTCATTCTGCTAGATACACGTGTACCGTGGCCTTTTGAGCTCAAGTGTGCATCCTACCATGCTCATGATGAGAATATCGCAAAGCCTTGAAAATGCAAGTGCTGACAGTGAGTACCGAGGTGAGGCTGAACAGTAAGTCGGACTCAGCTAAAGTCAGCGACTGTTTTGTGAGCAAACACAGAAACAGAGCCAAGAGAGTGAAAAGCTCAGCTTTTGTTCCTTCCTCCATGTATAATGTTTTCTCTCACTAAATGCATTCTGCAAATGAAGACCTTTAATGTCTTGGCCGTTCTCTGTGTGCAAATGGACTATTGCAGTGAGTAGCTGTTTCCACACATACACTTTCATCATTTTATTCTTTTCATCCTTTTTTGGGGGAATAACTATATGTACATACTATCACCAATTTGCACTGTTAAAATTCTTTTATATCCCCATAGCATCTAATAATAATTTTAAATTTATAATATATAGCTGAAGACCCCTGAGCTGAATTTACATATGTATGACCAAAAACCATTTTATTGCTGTTTAGATAAAGCATTTTCTAAGATTTTAGAAGGCTTCTTGTTTTGCTTTGTTTTGTTTTTTACATCAGTGTGCTGTACAAAGCCTAACATAGATCCCACAGCATCTAGATGTTTCAGGGGCTGACAGGCAGCTCCACAGCAATAAGATATTGCCTTGTGCTTCCGTCTTTTGGGGTACAATGTTAATATTACCTGGTTCTTCACTGGCATAGTCCTTCCACACCTGCCTTGGCAGAGGGCTATCTTCCCACCTTCTCATCTCCACATTTATGACCTGCTGTGTTATGGATGTGACCAAAGACATCTGATTGATGTTTTTTGCAGTTTCAGTTAAATATGTAAGGTGTTTCACAGTGTGATGAGAATTTGTCATTTTAATTTCAGTTGCTTTTAGTGTCTGTAGAAATAACATGCTTCTGTATGGATTTCCTGCTTTTTAAATATTGTAGCCTTTTTAGTTTGTTGGTCAGAGTAAACACTGGCTTCTGTATATCCATCCTGCTTTCCATCTGGTGTTCTGAGATTGCAAGCAGTAGTAGCAAAGGTGGGGCTACAGACATCAAAGATACTCATATGTCTTGAAACTGAGCACAGTGCTAAAATCCTTTTAATGCTTCTGTGGGAAAGTGTCTCCATATGTCATCCCATGTATTTTCTTTGCTATTTAAAGTATTGCTTAATGGTACACTAAGCTGGTGGAAAACTATTTGCTTTGTTGGGTTAGTTCTACTCTGGCTTTATGCAGGGCTGGGTAAGCACCAGGGCCAGCTGGGGGTGGGAGAAAGAGGGACGGGGGCACCTGGAAAGCAATGGGGCTTCCATAGCTGGGAAGCAGATACCAGCCCAGCTGAGTGGGGAGAAATCTTTGGCTGGCTGGGAGGTGTTGAGGTGGCAATGTAACCAGATTTGCTGTTTATCAACTGCATGAACTTCCTGTGTGTAAGTGGACTCTATCTTCAGACCAGTCCCACCTCACCCCCTCAGGTTGAACCTTGCTGCTTTTGGATTGCTCTTCCTCACTTCATGCTTTCTCTCTTCTTACCAATTAGAGCATCTTCCTGCAAACCTGTCCTCTCATTTTTGTCTTCTCTCTGTCTTCTTGTGATACTCACAGCTGTGTAACCACTCTTTTAACAAGTCCCCTGGAAACTCCTTCTTATGCTCCCCTACTGATTTCAAAAGGCTCTTTCAGATTTTGACTTTGATCTCTTTCCCCATTTTCTACAGACTTCATCTCTGGACCACCTTCTCCAGAAACAGAAATGTAGAAGTCATTAGATTGCTAATGAATAATAGTCCTACTGTGTACTGTCCTGCCTCATTCTCCCTACTTTCACTTAAATGGCCCAATTTCAAGTAAAAAAGCCCAACCTTTCCAGTTTCTGAAACCTGAGCC